CGGTCAGTCTCAGATGCTCTTCGGGCTCCGCTGCACCTCTACCCCTGCCGGGACTCACCTCCCCACCCTTTGCCGCTTTGGGGTCAGAAGGACCTGGATGTGAATCCCACCTCTAACCCCTGCACTGACAGTGACCTTGAGCACGTTACTTAACCTCTCTCAGCTTCATTTTCCTCTTCTGTAAAATGAGGATCATCGCACCACCTCCCTCAGAGGGTTGTTGGGAAGATTAAATAAGATGATGCGAGTAAAGAATTTAGCTCAGTGCCGGGCACACAGTAAGTGCTCCATAAATAACCATTATTATCCATGGTTTTCTCGCACCGCATTCATTTACTCAACAAATCTTTTTTGGGTGCCGAATATAAGAGCCAGATACTACTGGGGAGCCTCTAATGCACAAAACCGGCCCTTACTTCCTTACAGCCCCATGGAGGAGAGAAACATCAGTCCCAAGATCACACTGATGATGTTGTAGTTACACACTGAGGAAAGTGAAGGGAAGCAAGGCATTCCTGTGGCAAGACCTACAAACCCAGAGGTCAGGGCGCCTTCCCTGAGGAAGTGACACTTAAGACGTGAAGTTCGAGGAGGAACTGACTTGGGAACAAACTGGGAAAGAGCATTCCAGACAAAGGAATCACATGTGCAAAGAACCTGTGGTTAGACGGGTTAAAAAGTCGGGGGGTGGGGAGGGTCTAGCTCAGCGGTAGAATATGTGCCTACCATGCACAAGGTCCTGGGTTCAATTCCCAGTACCTCTTTTAGAAATAAATACCTAATTACTTCCCCCAACAAAAGGAAAAAACAAACTAACAAAAAGGACAGGAAGAGAAGGCAGAAAGTGAGTGTGGGGAAAAGGGGATGAGGTGGTGTTCAGGGTCTCAAAATCCACCTTAAGGATCACTCTGTAGGTACAGATGCAAGGGGGCCATTTCTGACACCTTCTCCTAACCTGACCAGCCCAGACCCAGAGCCATCCTCCTTCTTGGGGCTCCTGTCCTTCCCAGAACATTCTCCCTACTGTTCCAGCACTATACTGAGGGCTTCATCCATGCATCAACACTTTGGAGTAGAGTCTGTTATTAGTGTCCCCAGTTTATAGAGGAGACGACTAGGCTAGGCACTAAATTATCCCATAGGTAATTATTTCTTATCTAAGTTTGTTTCCTCCTTGGGGAGACCAGGCCTGACTGATCCCTGGACCCAGTAGAGGACTGGGATCACAGTGGGTGCTCAGGCAATACTGGTTGGATGAATAAAGGTACCGGGGGAAATGGAATGGGACAACATTGGGGTCCCCGAGCTCGAGGCTCTGAGGTGACACTCTTGGCCCTGTGAGTGTCTGGGCAAGGACTCCTCACTCGTATCACTCTTTGGCTTGTATCATCCATCTACATGCAAGGCTCTTACTCTTTCCCAGAAAGAACAAAGCCAGAATTCCTGAGTTCATCCTTCTCTCCATTCTCTTTGTCCCTCCTAGCTGCTGTCCAAGGCCCTCAACCACTCATAGCAGACTCCCCACCCCAAGGCTTTCCCACTCAACAATCTAAGGACTCACTAAACAGGTGATTTTTGCTCTGTGGTCACATCTCCAGCCAAAACTCTCTCCCTTGTCCCAAAGAGCCTGGTACTCAAGAGACTTTTCTGGTGCCGGGGAGAGAATCTGAGACAGAAAGAAGGAGGGCTATTTTACTAGAGTTCTCCCAAACCCTCCAACAGGCCAAATTTTTTTCCAATCTCTGGACATTTACATATTCTATTTCTTCCACTTGGACGCCTCAGCCATGTCCCCAGGCTAAATGCTATTCATCCTTCAAGTTTCAGCTTAATATCACTTCCTCCATGAAACCTTCACTGATCGCTCCCTTGAGAAATTAGACCAAGTGCCCTTGTTATTTGTTTTCATAGAATCATGTACCTCTTCCTTACAGAATTTCCCACATGTTTGTTTGCATAATCACTGGATTTTTGTGCATCATCTCTGGAACAGGTCTTGTGCACTTCTGTACACCCACCTTAGTACAGTCCCAGATACTCAATGAGTGATTGACTAGGAAGCTCAATTCCAACTCTGGTGAGCTCCCATTTTCATGAAGGAGACAGAGGAGATAGAGTTTGATATAGGACCTAGGAATTCTTTTACGCAAATAAAACCCTTTGCATAAACTCTGTAGTCACATCCTATTTGGAACTGAAATACAGATCTTCCTCAACTCACGATGGGGTTATGTCCCAATAAGCCCATTGTCAGTTGAAAATATCAAAATATTGTTGAGTCAGGAATGCATTTAATACATCTAACCCACAAACATCATCCCTTAACCTAGCCTCCCTTAAACATGCTTAGAACACTTACAGTAGCCTGCAGTCAGGCAAAACCACCTAACATACAGCCTAATTTATAATAAAGTGTTGAATATCTCATGTAGTTTATTGGATTCTCTACTGAAAGTGAAAACCAGGATGGTTGTGTGGGTGCAGAATGTTGTAAATGTATTGGTTGTTTACCACTGCGATTGCAGAGCTGACTGCTGGGATGCCCAGCATCATAAGAGAGGATTGTACCGCATACCTCAAGACTAGAAAAGATCAAAATTCAAAATCCACAGTACGGTTTCTACTGAATGTGCCTCACTTTTGCACTATTGTGAAGTTGAAAAATCATAAATCCAACTGCTGTAAATAGGGACCATCTGGACTAGTTCCCAGCTCCACCCCTACCTTGGCTTTTGGCTATCAGCAAGCAAGTCTACGCTCACGCCTTGGCATTGCATTTGGAGCCCTCCCCAGTTGGTCTTAACCAGGGTTTACTGCTGCCCTCCTGATTCCAACCCCATCCCCCACCCTAATCGCATGCTCCAGCCATTGGGGCTGAAGGGAATCTTTTAAAATTGCATTCCACCATGTTTTTTGTGTTCCTCCTGGGTACCAAAATGCTATGATGAAAAGCCATAGCTATGGTGGAGGCAAAAGAAGGAAAAGGAGCCTTCCTTAACTTCTCTGAGTCTTAGTCTTCTCACCCATTAAGTAGAGAGAGGCAGGACTGGGGTGAGGAGCTGATGAAAAAACAGATGCTCTGCCAACTGAGGAAGGGTTGCATGAGCACGCATTATTAAACCGGGAGCATGAGTAAGACCACTGCTCTCTTAAAGGAGCTCACAATCAAGATGCTGCGAGATATGTAAATGACCAAGTCCATGAGCGAAAAAATTGCTAAGAAAGCACACGGGCTATCATGGACTGCCCCTTTTCAGAGGAGTTTGCTTGTTGTCTGTGCTGTCTCACGTGAGGATACAATAAGAAGGCAGCAGTCTGCAATCTGGAAGGGTTTCTCACCAGAACTCAACCCTGCTGGCACCCTGATCTCAGACTTCCAGCCTCCAAAACTGTGGGAAATAAATGTCTGTTGTTTCTAAGCCACTCAGCTATGGTACTTTGTTATAGCAGCCCCAGATGACGCAGGCACACGCCAAGTGCATGCGAATTGCGCCCCCTGAGGCCATTGGAAGGACACATGGTACCTTGAAAGGCATCTAAAAGAGTTTCCCCAATGGCCTCCCAACGCGAATACTTTGAAGAGATTAACTCTCACTCAGATGTGAGCACTCTAGTCTACTCATCTTTAAAAGGCAGTCTCATTTCTATGGTCCCAACTCAAATAATCCTGTTGGCTACTATTTAGAGAGAGCTAGCGTACTGGGCCAAGTGCTCTGTGGATTATCTCATGTAATCCTCGGCAGTCCTAGAGGTGGGAGGTCCTACTACTGTTTTTCCTTGTTGCAGAGTTTAGGTTACTTGCCCACGCCAGAGCTGGGATGCCAAGCCAGGTCTGTGTGAGCCCCAAAGCCACTCCTGACTATCATGCTACTGCCTCCCAGACAAAGTCTAGAAAGTCACCCCCCAAAAACACAAGCACCCATGGCTCCCGTCTTTGTTCAGCAGAGTTTCCCCACTGTGGAGGGTGATGAGTCACTTAAGCTCTGGGGATTCTTGAGTCCATCCCAGGTCTTGGTGGAACAGAGTAGACCCAGCCCTCCACCCCTGGGCTATCAGACAGTTTGGTTCTGCTTGGCCCCATACATGATTTTGTTCAGGTTAGAACAAAAACAAAACAAAAATGGATGGGAAATCCTGGGCCAAGCCAGGGCATCAGAAGGCGTCAGCGGTAGAGAAACAGAAATTACTGAAGGAGTCAGAGCAGAAAGGAACTCCCTGGGGAAGCTATTAACAATTTAGTACGTGGGAATGTGGCTCCCACCTGCCAAAGAGACACTGCCTGATGGAAATACTGTGACTGCCTCTGAGTGAGAGTGAGCGAGTGAGCGGGCAGCTTCTCCCCTGGGTTGCCTTTAGTCTGGCTCCATCTGCAAGCCCGGGGGGAGGGAGGGGGAGGATCTTAGCGATAACCATAAAATAATAACCATTTGCAAAGTACTTTTGACTTTCCGCAGCACTTCCAGATTGATGATTTCATCTTATCTTGACACCATCTGGATAATGGGGGGGTCAGATTTCATTATCTTCATTTTGTAGCTAGGAAGACAGACAGCTAGAGAGCCAGG